AGCAGGAATCGTGAGTTCAGAAGAACCCCCAGATTATGCCAACAAACCCTAAACCCAGAGCCACTCGGTCTTTACTCCCTTTACTCCCCATCTGGCCCCTAACAGCCTCCAGGCACTGTGAGAGGGAAAGGGAACCATATTTATCTGCCATTCAAAACTAATGATTAAAACAAGTTAAGAAGAGAACAAAAAGATCAGAACATATTCTCTCCAACACCCAGATAACCAAGGATTAACAGCTGAGAAACAATCAAGGAGAAAATTATATCCTAATCAAGAAATTATCAAGAAAAGAAACCACACTCCTACTGAAACTGGCAGGGCAAGCCAATGTTTATAAACACGGGGAAAACCCCACACTCACTGGCACTGAAGATGTTCCCTAATTGGGTAATAAAACATTGGCAAGTAAACAACCATGCTCAGAGAGCACAGAGGATTCCATAGTTCAACCCTGAGATATGTGTATTCTCTTCTATTGGATACACTTTTATTTTGGAAAAGAAAGAAGAGAGATGCATTTCATCATGGATCTAAAGAGATGGAATGAGGCTCTTATTACCTTCCTGGCAAGAAAACACTGATTGGTTTTAGTTGTCTGTGCTCAGTTATTGGTCACAAAGGACTGATTGGCGAGGAGGTCTTTGTTAGCTCACAAATATATATATCAGCCTAAATAGTTGGAAGGTAGTCAAAACAACCTAGATCAATCTTGAGTGCATTTTATTGGAAGTGCCATCAATGTAACCCTAAGCTCATTTTTATGATTCTTGCACACCCCCTCCCATCCCCAGATCCCACCACTGAGATTTGGTGCCAAATTACACAATTACAACAAAGCAATTTCCTTTTGGTATTTGGCAGGAAAGAATGACAATGAAGAATAGGGTAGTTTTTGACAAGCTTAGCAGAGCCACTAGTATATAAAATAGCCCTCTGAACAAAGGAATGAAAATTTTAGTTGTGTTCCCTTTGGAGATATTAGCATGCCACTGTCTTACCTCCTTCATTTCTCAGCACTAATTGATATCTCTGAAACTTAACAAAGAAGATTATTGGCACAGTAGCAATTATAGCTGTTTATTAATTGATCTGGCAAGTGGGGTAATTTGCATATTAAAAACAGAAAATTGTGAAAATCTAAATCTAACATTCATGAATCATCTAGTCTAGAGAAATTCCTTGATACAGAGAAGGGATGCAAGGGATGAAAATGTTGGTGACTTAAAGCCAGTGTGAGGATTACAATAGATTTGAATTGGTTCATTTTGTAGCCTGTTGCATTGCTACTGAAATAGTGTGTGCCTTTACGCTAAGACCTTGCATGTAGCAGAAAACAATGTATTTTATCTGATACCTGTTCACTGGATGTACTTACGTTTCATTAAGGAACTGGCATTCCTAAACTTAAGTCAAATGCTTCAGCCCGATTCTCTGTATGCTTATTTGGTTTGTTATTTGTTCAACTGAGGTCAGTGAGACTTGCTCACCAGAATTGCAAATAAAATGTCCATAAAATGTCAGTCTTAATATAAGAGAGGAGAGGAAAAGAGAAGTAGTTCTGCAAGTTACCTTTTAAATTGTTGGCATCAAATAAATGTAACAATGGAAAAATTGTTCATCAAAGAAAGCCCTTATGGTAGGGTATGATCAGAGTGGAAAAGAGAAGGTACTTCCCCCCCCCCAAAGATGTCCACAAATACTGCACTGGTAAGACCACACTTAGAATACTGCATCCAGTTCTGGTCACTATGATACAGAATGTATCTTCAGAGAATAGAAAGAATGCAGAGAAGAGCAACAAAAATGATAAGGGTTGTGGAGAATAAGCTATATGATGAACAATCAAGGGAAGTAGTATGTCTAGTCTAATAAAGGGGAAGATTATGATAGTAGTCTTCGAGTGCTTGAGGGGTTTGTCACAGAGAAGGGGTTGATGTATTCTCCAAAGCCTGAGAGTAAGATAAGAAGTAACAGACAGAACATCATTGAAGAGAGATCCAATCAAGAACTAAGAAAAAATTTCTGATAGTGAGAAGAATTAATCAGTGGAACAGCTTACCTCTGAAAGTTGTGAGTGCTCACTGAAGGTTTTCAAGAAGAGTTTGGACAGTCATTGATCCAGAATGGCATAGGGTCTCCTGCTTGAGCAGGAGGTTAAAATAAAAGAACTCCAAGTCCCTTCCAACCCTGTTATTCTATATACTATGTCTGGATTAAATTTAATTTTACTGACAAAGAATTAAAGGGAGACTAGTATAGCTATTTCAGGCTACTTAGCTCTCATTAGCTAGCCATACCCTTCTGAGAGTTGAACCTGGGCCAGTCAATCTCAGGAGGGTATGGCTAGCTGATGAGAGCTAAGTAGCTCAAAATAGCTATACCAGTCTCCCTTTAATTCTTTGTCGGTAAAATTAAATTTAACGCACAAATAGTCTGTCACAGAAGCGACTGCCTGCGAAGGCTCCTAGTTTGGGGCCGAAAGGCGAAAGCAGAAGCAGTATGATCCATTCCATATTTGGGGTAGACCAGGTTGCCCTGATAGACCGGTCTCAGCAGAAAACGCTTAATGTACTATGTCCTTTACTATTTCCAAATTAAAATACAATAACATGTCCTGCAAAATTAATCAGTGTTTTCTCTCATTGATCCCAGTAAAGGAGATGTTTACAAGTTTCAGCAACTTTTTTCATTCAATGGAAAATAAATCACAGTTCATTTTGGCTGGCTTATGTTCATTTTGTAAAACTCAGTATTTAGCATAAGCACTAAGTACAAAGTCCTTCTCTCTCTCTCTCTCTCTCTCTCTCTCTCTCTCTCTCTCTCAATTGTCTCTATAGAACCCTTTTTGAAGCAACCAGACCTAGTAAACATTATCTACACCTCCACTGCAAAACACTTTGACTACTGCAATATCCTGTAAGCGGAGCTACCCTTGAAATATATTTGGAGTCTGCAAATGATGAAACATGTGCTAGCTAGGCTACTTTCTGGGAATCATGGGATGCCTCTTCTGAAATATCAGAATTAGCTTCTAGTGTCCTTCAGAATATTGATATTGACCCATCAGCTCACCTAGCACTCACTAGAAGCTTCTCTAAGATCAGGAAAGTTGTGCTCAGAATATTGGTATTGACCCAATGGGAACTTTTCTGTGTAGTAGGTGGGAAAGGTTGCCTGGCTCCTACTATAGGTTGTGGAACATCTTCTATCAATCTTTTCACGGTTGATTTGTCTATGTTTTATTTTAAATCTGCTATTAGCTGTTAATATTGTTTTAATTTATATTTTGTGTTTCTTTTCATTTGGATCGTTTTAATTTATAAGGTGGATGTCTTTGTCCTAGCTCCAAACCTTGATGCTTAAAACAGAAACACACAGGGTAGAAATTCAATAAAGGAGAAATAAAAAGACAAAATTTATTGAGTCAGTTTTGAGAGCACACAAATGTCAACAGTCCTGTTTATGATTAATAACTTAATTGTGAACATTCACATCTGCGTGGAAGGGGTGTGTGCGTTTATGTATAGGAGAGAGAGATTCAGAGCATTATCATTTGACTGCCAATAATTATCCTGGATCTCCAATTTAATATATAACAGTTACGGTTCAGGAAAAAATTATGTGGGCATCTCCCAGAGATAGTTGGCTGTACTTATTTTTAGATAACTAAGGGTTTGGTTATTGACATACATGCACAAAGCTAGCAGTGATAACACTTAACACTGACCAGTTGTTAGTCATTCACAATCACATTTGCCTGTGGAAATGTGACCTGCCTGAAGAAAGAGAGGGATGGTTTCTTGATCTGGTTATTATGTCAACTTATATATTAAGAGAGTTACTGGTTTCATTTAGCCAAATTCCTTTGATCAGATAGATGCACCCAAACCCCTCTCTTTGACTCTGATGGAGTGAAAACAACACCACAATCATCCTTCAGTTTCTCTGCAAGGTGGCACAGGGCTCACTGGTGATACTAAGGAAGCTATTTTGTGTATTTCTCCGGGAGGGGGGGGGAATCGGTAGCCACCCACAAATGCCATGCGTGCTCTCTAGGAAAAGGCCGAGGACTCCGTTTTGCACACTCTTTTCTCTGATGACTAATTGGGTTACTTCCCCCCCCGTCCCCCACACCACCCCACTCCGGTTCCCTGGTCACATTTTGAACTGCCGATGCTTTCCTGCCCATGCTCAGCTTTGCTTCCCCGGGGTTTTCCCCTCCCTTTCTCTCTGATGCTGCGGGGAGGAGGGAGAACCCCCCTGGCTGCTGGCTGGTTGGCAACACACCGAGTGGCAGCAATGCTCAACCCTGCCCGTCTTTAAAAGGCAGCTTCGGCGGCGGGTGTGGAAAGCGGAGAGTTGAGCAAGTGAGGCAATTTCAGGGCTGCTGGTGACGGGGCTCGTGTCCCTTTAAGAGATGCGAGACTTTCACCGAACCGGGGATATATTCAAACAGACAATCGGCACCGGGTATTGCCAGGCTGGGCTTTAGCCTACGTACATCTGTGTTGTTGTAGTTTTTTTACTCCGGCGCGGAGTGCCCTGAGGAGCGAGCGATTGAGCGAGCGAGCTGGTCTGTCATTCAGCTGCCACGCCGCCCTTCCAGCAGAAGTGTCCGGGAAGCCACGAATTTATCTCCAGATTCACTCCAAAGGTCTCGTCGAGCAGAAGGGCGACGCTGAAGAGAGGGATTTAAAGGTGAAACGACCGGGCTTTTCCGTCCCACCATCCTGGACTACTTTTGTGACAGCCTGTGAGAGACCGGAGCAGAGAAGAGCCAGCTTGGATGTCTCCCTAACAGTTGGACGGAGGAGTCCGGCCAGCGAGACCGTGGTGTCTGTGTGTGGGGTGGGAGGGAGGAGGAGGAGGAGGAGGAGGAGGAGAGACGCCGACCAGCCCATCCAAGACGCCTGGGCTTGCCTTGGTCTTCAGGAGAAGACATCCCGAGAAAGAAGACCCTTCTTTTGCTTGCTTGCTTGCTCCGGGGTGGGGTGGGGTGGGGGGGCTTGAAGTGGATTTCTATCGCCACCACCTACCACCCACCCCAACACTGTGGTCCATCCAGATGGATTTGAAAAAGTCTTAAATCTTTCCAATGTATGCTTCCAGAGCGCTCTGCTTTGGCTTGCAGTACACAGGTAAGAAAAGCCTTTGCGAGGCGGCCGAGCGCACGCCGGGGGGAGAGCTTTCTCCGCCGGTAGCCTGCGAGGATTTCGGGTGGATTAGGAGAAACAAGAACCGGCCAGGTTGGGGAGGAGCGGAGGAGAAGGCAAAGAACTGAGGCGATTTCCAGAAATAAAAGTTCATTACAAATGATGACCCACCCTCCCCTCAAGATGGATGTTAGGAGGCTGAAACTGGAAAGGGGGGGGGGGACAGATGAAGGGGAGGGGATATAAAACAATGTCTTCAGTGCAGTTCAAAGATCATAGTAAGATGAGAGACGGGTCCAGAAGCTCTTTCTGTTCCTCCATTCTTTTGCTCATTGCTTAGCTGGTGGGGGGGGGGGAGGGAGAAAAAAAGTTCAGATTGAATTAGAGCACTGGAAGGATGGAAGTCTCAGCTGAGGCTCATCTTTTCCTCCTTTCATGTTTGTTGGTGTCATAAGCGAACCCCTCCCTTGCAAAGCAGGGAGGGGGAGATCTCTCTCTAAATCGATCCGGTTCTGCATGGCTTGGATATGAGGACTGTAGGATCACAGTCTGTGCTTTGTTGGGGGGGGGGGGTAAAAGAAGGAAGCAGAGGGGGAGAGAGGGGCCATGGGTCTTTCCTGTGGAGTGAAGTGAAAGTCAGGCGGAGGGAATGAGGAGAAAGGGCTTTAAAGCTATAAAATAAGCTGCTCTTTACTTGGGCAAGTATATTGGATACGCAGAGAAGGTAATTAAATGGCAACTGCCGGAGACAGTCATCTTTTCCCATTTTGCATTTGTATTAAGTGTCTCCTCTAAAAAGTTGGACTTGATCTGGTGTCCTCTTTTGGGCCAAGAGCCATTTATAGTTACCATTGTAAAGGAGGCTTAAAATAGTAAAAAAAAAAAAAAAAAAAAAAAAACATAGTTACATCTCTGCTGGACACTGACAGACTGCAGTGGATCAGAGGATGCTTCTTTTCCTCCCGACCAAAACAGAGGGTGATTCCTTCTCTCTCCCCCGCCCCCACTTTCTCATTTAGCCTTAATTTTAACTGCCCCCCAAATTAATCTGAGAATCGAAGGAGATTTCTCAAAGTCTGGAAGCCTTTTCTCCCCTCATCTTAAAAAAAAAAAAAAAAAGATGCTCCACTGATTGGGTTATTAGAAAGAAAATGCCATCTTGTCATTGGCTGAGTAAGGAGTGTGCCGGTGGTTTGATTAATTTGGCAATGTGAAATGCAACAGAAGGAGTTGCTGAAACACTGGACGGTGCATGGAATAACCAACTCTTGGCAGGCATCAGAAGCATTGCAGAGTGGCTGTGAACTTTATGGATGCGTTCACACGCACACGTACACTTTTACACACAGGCCATCTGAACAATACAATAATCAGTGCAATAGAAATGAAAACAAGGGTTCACCTACCCGGCCTTGACAAAGAAGGATCTTCCATTTTTGAGGGGAGATAAGCGTGTCTTCATTCAGACTAATGTTCTTTCCTCTTAGTTGCCAAAGGCACACAAATTAGTTTTTGTATAGGTGAATTAAGATAAAATACAAGGTTGAGAAAGGTGGTTGCTTTGCTTTGCTTTGTGAAAATGGGGGGAAGGAAGCATATGTTTCTGAGAAACGGTTACTTTGCTTGGCAGACCAGATGATAATAAAATTTTAATGGCTTGAGAGTTGAGCAGGAGGCAGTTAAGTATGATCCTGAAAGGTATCAGAATTCCCAGACTGGCCAGGGAGATTATATGCAATAACTTTCAGTCCTACAGTCAGTATTTTATGAAGCTTTGAGATTGTTCTTTGATGTATGTAAATGGGAGAGTTAGTGCTATAATAAGCAATTCTCCATAGCATAAAGGATGTTGTAGGAGTGATACTCCTGTTTCCTGTTCAACAGAATATGGTAAGGCAAAAATAGCCTCAGATGTACCCCTTGTGCTTCTTGTTGTTCCTTTGTGGAATAAGTCTTGAAAATGAGAGTTATCCTTTCAGATAGGTGCCTGTCAGCCAGGCATATCCACAGCAGAAACCAAAGGAAGTCCTTATAGTGGACTACTGAAAACTCAGAGGTATAAACTACTGCAAATAATAAATGGCATGGTTAAAAAAAAATATAAACAGCAAGGCATGAGTGTCTAACCTTCTGCCTTCAAATGCACCCTCCAGTGTGACTTTTGTAATTCAAGCCAAGTTCATCAGCTACAGCTTGACTTCCACTAGCCCTGGGCTTCTTTTACAAATAAATTTCATTTATGCTCCTGAATTATTTAAGGTTGATGTAGAAGCAGGTCTCAAGGTCTCTTGAATATGCTCTTTGATATATGAAAACCACAGCCTGGATGAAAGATGGGAAGGACCAATACACCTAAAAGGAACTAGAAGGTGATCCTGCTTGGTGGGGATGCTAACTCTTGCCTTGCCTTTTCTTCAGAGGATGGCCATGGTCTCTGCAATGTCCTGGGTCCTGTATTTGTGGATAAGTGCCTGTGCTGTACTGCTCTGCCAAGGGTCCCTTCAGCAGACATTTCAGCAGCAGCATCTTCCCAGACCAGGTAAGATTATTCGCAGTGGATACTGCTAGAGATGCCAGAATAGGCCTGTGAGTATGGATTATATGCAATCAGCTCACATTTAAAAATCTCATAATGTAGGCAACTCAATGTTTGCTTGTCTGGAAGGGAAGTACAGCACTTATTTAGGTTGTGTATTTGTGTCTTTCTCTCTCTGTGTGTGACTTCTTTTTCCTACTTTACATTGGAAGGTCATTGTGGGTAACTCAAACTGTTTACAATTCAATCTTTGCTTAATGCTCTGTGATATATGTGCTGGTGGTAGAAAGAAAATAAACCTTATTAAAACCACAGAGCTTAAGGTATAGCCTTCATTGGCTGAGGAGTGGGCAACTGAGACACTGGATCCCTGTGTTAAAAACAAATATCCACAAAGGGACCAGTGCTTAAATTATGGGTCTGGGAAAGGTAGGAAAAATCAAGGGAAAAGCAATATCTTTTTCCCAGTGGGTATTTTTTAACACCTTGGAGGACATGTCAAAGAATATATAAGTATATATTATACATGATTACATTATGCAGTTCTATGTATATTCTTAGTTCTATTTGTATATCATTGTATCACTTGAACTAAGTGCAAAGTGAGTCTATAGTTGCAGCTATAAGTCATCTTTTAGAGACTCTTTACTATAATGCCCATGCTGTAAAAATATTTGTTCTCCCAAAATGATGGCACAGAGTGTGAACAATGGTGAAGCATTGCCTGAATTTGTCACAGATGGTGAGTTATGGTCATTCAATGAAAAGATGTGCAGTATTTCTAAAGATGCTTGGAGGTTAAAGGAAGGAAAAGGATATTTGTGTTGGAAATAGAAATTGATCAAGGAAAGATTGAGTCTATGGCATTTCATTACACTATTCCTCAAGAGGAGATCAGCTATGCAATTCTTCAAAACTGACTGTTTGTTTGGAACTTGCTTCATGGCTTTTGATTCAGGAAATGATCAGTCATAATGATCAATTATGAACTATAGAAGACCACTCTATTGGAAAGTTGGCTTTGAACAGAAGAGTTTAGGAAAACAAAATGACCATGGTGGGGCTTGTTTGTTTGGGCTTTGTTGTTGCAAGCTGAAATGACATACCATTTAAAAACGTTCTCTTAAAGATCAGATTTAAATATATGAGAATGGATGGATGAAAGCATGGATTCATATAGTGTGGACTGAGAATTTAATGTAGGATTCAACTTCAGAATTCACTGAATCTCCAATCCAGAATGGAATAGTCTGAGAAAGAATGACTAACAATAATTCATAAGGACAATAGAAAAATGTTTGATTGAAGAATTTTCCTAGATAAACTCAAGAATGGCAGGTTGCATTTTAGAGCACTCCTTTTTTTTATAGAAGCATTACTAGTACATCCATAATTTTAATAGAGAAGACAATCTCAATGGATTCCATTTGATTTATTCAGTTTTAAGCTTTAAACATTGATTGTTCATGTATGACTTTCTACCTGTAATGATTAAAATGATAATTATTAGAAGCAGAACTAGTTCAGATGTTTTCCTCTGGAATAACATCAAAAGAAGTATACCAAACATCTATAGATATAGAAAGTGCTCTCTGTTATATGGCACTGATGATGACACAATGAATTAGTAAGTCCATAAATTAAAAAAAATAGTGAAAAGCAAAAAGGAGATTTCATTTTTTGCACAATCAGGTGAAACAAGTAACATGACAAGAAAGAGGGGAAAAAATGAGAGATAGATATTCCCGTGGCTTGGAGTATCTGCCTAAGCTTGAAAAATTGCCTCCTTTATTGAAGTAGAAGATGATGGCATAGAGTGCATACAGAATGTTGAAGAAATGGGAAATATGACATGTCTTTCACAGGGGCTGTGATATAGATAGAGTGAAGATTTTACAACTATCTTATCACCTGCTTAGGAACAGCAGAGCTGTTCCTCTTGTGAGACTTTGAAGCAGTCAGCCTGCACCCTACATGAATAAGATTGATGGTGTTCTGATCCAAGGCAACCAATTTCAGTCTCTCAAGGAATAATCCACTACTCTGACAGATGAGTGGAATTTGACAGAAATGCTCACAATGGTTTCACATTGCTACAAGTCTGCAGAGGGCAATGCTCCAAGGAACCTCTAGAAAGATATAGCTGCAAGGTTTTTTGAGAAGGTTCTGTTGGCATAATGTGAAAATTATACACACAAACACATCTACATTGGTGACCTGACTGGATAATGCATGTGGGAGATATACCCAGCAAGGAATGAAAATATGCTAATGATGGAAATGAACAGAGATTTTTTTAACGTATTCAGCATAGTCTCCAAGCATTTGCTATTTTTCAGACAGATATTATTAGGAATTCATCATTTACTCTCAGTTAGACAGTTTGACTTAACCCCTGTTTAAGGAAGATTAAAACATTGCAGCAAGGGGAAAAAAGGAATTAAAAATCAGACAAGTTGGATAAATAGATAATTTTTTCTAATGTATGACTGTTGTTTTATGACACTTCTCTGTTTTTACTAGAATAAAACCAGCCATAATTGATTGTCAACTATATCTCTTCCTCCATGATCATGATCTACAATACTTCATTGCTAGTTTATAATCATTGTCAGGGTCCCTAATTTATAGGAGAGAAGAGTTTTTCTAAACAATTGAATTTGAGAGTAGAATTATCAAAGCGCTGTGAAATGGAAGAAGACAACGTGTCTGCTTGCATCCTTTCCTCTGTAAATTAAAGATCAGTGTATAGCATGTTAAATATTATAAAATGTAAACAACTTCTATTGTTCTTGAACTGAACTGTAAATGGAATTTATAAACATGGATTAACTTTTTTTAAAAAAAACAAACCCTGAAAGGTTAGTATAGCAAAATTGGAGCACAATGTTCAGTTGTTTTAATTAAATTTTATTGGCACAAAGACATGTAGGGCATGCTTGATAGTTTCTACTTCTGCTCTCAAAAAACAAGCTTAGATGTGGGATTTTCACGGTGAAACACATGCTGTTTCAATTCCATGGCTCCCCTGTAGTGGTTTTATTTGTCCTCTTTAGCACCTGGCTTTCTGTTGGCTATATTCAACTTTTCTCTTGAATCCTGAGTCCATTGAATTGGAAACAAACAAACAAAAAACACTTAAAAGAAATAAAAAAAATAAGAAAAGGGAAGGGTCACCACAGGCATCATTTTCTTGGTTTGCTTAGCACATGCTAGCTTCAAATATCTGTAATGAGTTTTGATGTACAGCATCTACTGCAAAAAAGCAGGAATTAATCTTTTTGCTTTCATTTTGTTACCAATGTGAAAATGACAACATGACAGTTAATTACCAGTCTCAGCAATTGTAGTCTGTGCTTGCACTGTACGTTCGCTCGTGAGTACCTGAAATATACCTATTTTGCTTGATTTTCTGAGTACACAGAACATATTAATGCTCAAAGAAATCATACCAAACTGCTTTTAGAAAACATGCTTGGCTAAAATGTCTTTTTAGTGCCAAGTAAAAGGAGTGGGCGGATTGCCTTCTCATTTTAAAAGTAGGGACTTCTATCACAGCTTCCCTCATTCTACGTAATTCCTTTGAAATGTACAAGGTGGTTAAATGTCTATGGAGATTCTCAGTTGTCCAGGTCATGGTTGTCCCAAAAGTGCTTTTTCAAGAGGCAACCAGACTTTCTTGTTTTTCTTTGAAGATGTTTCGCTTCTCTCCAGAAAGAACTGAAGAAGCTTCTTGGATAAGAAGCAAAACATCTTCAAAGAAAAACAAGAAAGTCTACTTGCCTCTTCCAAAAGCACCTTTGGTACAAGGTGGCTATTACTGTAATGTTACTTCATATGCAGAACAACGCATTGACTACTTAGATACAATGGTTTGCTGTGCCTTTTTATGAATTGTAATGAAAGCTGGATTCAAGATTTGTGGTCTTTATTTGTCAGGCACAACTGGAATCTGCTACGCTTGCTCTGATAAGTGCAATCGAAAGTCTGGTTTGAGGTAGGGATGCAAAACTGCACAAAGGGAGAACTACTATGGTCTCTCAAAAGCCTTTTAATGTATACAGGAGGACATACAGGGAATAGACTTGAGAATGATGTCACCAATATATGTGTAAAACAACAGAACAAGCCACAATCAGATATCCAAACATCCAAAGGCATTAGAAGCACAGAGGAAATTAGAAGCACAAGCAGAAGGAATGTAAAGGAAAACATCAATCTACTAGTTACTGAATTAATAAACAAGAGCAGTCTTCCCCAAGCCAGAGCTTTCACATCTCCTGAAATATAATTCTCATTATCCATAGCTAACCTGGTAGGAGATAACAAGATTTGTAGTTCAGTATACATGGATGCTAATATATTGTGGAAGGCCAAGCTAGAAGGATAAATTACTTCTTAATTTTTCGCTTTAACCCCTGGTAGAATAAAAGAGCAACAGTGGAATAATGATAATAATCTACCTTAGAGTTTGAGGATTGACTTTTACTTAAGGTTGTTAACCTTTTGGTTTCAAAATTATTGAGCAGGGAGAGGCAACAAGTCAATGGGATTAGGTTGTCTATTAGAAACTTCACTGTCCCATAAAATGTCATGATGGAGAACTTTCTATTGCACCGGAAATGCATGATAGGAATACTACTTCTATTCTACTTCTTTTGGTGGTCTCTGTTCACATTGCCCAGTGTAGGAAAACAAATAGATACAGAGATGGACCTTTTTGGTACTCAGTATGATGAACTTGAATGAGCCTAGCCTCCATAAATTGTGGTTCACTATGTAGTATAAAACCCACAGCCAGGAGCATGGAACTTTCGTGTTCTTATTTGCTCATCCTGGAGAGGCAGCATTAATTTTACATCTATTATTGCAGGGGTCCCCAACCCCCAGTCTGTGAACCGGTACCGGGCCGAGGCATGCCAGCAACTGGTCCGCACAAACAAGCAAAGCCCCATCCATGGGATGTAGGCAGCACACAAAACCGTGCAGTCTCCGGTCCATGG